GTTAATGTAGTGTGTAATTCTGATCCAGTAGAAGAATCACTGAATGGAATACGTGAAGCATTAGGAAATGTTCAATCGTCTCAAACACACAAAGACGTAAAGCTAAACGCTGGGAACAAACTTCGAAGCGCCGAATCAAAAAGGAAAGCTCAAAAGTATGTACATTACCAACGTTTATTTTAAAAGGACAAATCGAAATTAGCGTCAGAAATTTTCGATAACGTTGATAATTCTGCAATCAAACCGTCTATGTCCGTCGCATATGAACATTTTCGAAAGATCTGGCAAACTGATACAAAAAATACCGACAACTTCGAACACAAAGCCTCGATAGGTTATGACGTAGTTCTTGCATCAATAACACGTGAGGAGATTGCCTTGGCTATAAAACAAACAAATAATAAAGCATCTGGCGATGCAGACCACGTGTCACTAAATGATGTTCAACATATAGCGAGGAATGAACTATGGTATCCCATGTCCTTTGAATCGGCTAAAAATTGCCGATTAATCCCGATTCATCGAAACGATAATCGTGAGCTGAATCGCGATAGAATCGCCGATTATTCCCGATTATTTCAGCGATTTTTACGATAAATCGTGATTTTATGCAAGATTTAACCGTCTGTTTACTGATATTTTCTACTATTTCATTGGTTCTTTTGGAGACACATATTTGGATTTTTTCTTGAATTTAATTCAACTTTTTTTGTTCTCAAGATCCAAGCCGATCAGATCGTGCGATCTGTCCGATCTCGAGCTGATCCGATTCTTATCAGACCGCTTCAGTGTAGTCCTCTCCAGATCATGGATCGGGATTGGCATTTCCTTGATTAAAAATAACCAAGAAATAATTTATTAGAAAAGTATATTTCGAAAACTTATTTGTTATGCATTGAACGGCGTTGTTTATATATCCGTGTGTGTTCATAACAAAACGGTGAATAAATAATTGTCATGATTTATCAATGATTTTTGAAAATCAGCTCTTCTCCCATAATCGCAATAAAATCTGATATAATCATCGATCTTTTAAAGAAATACGATAAATCACGATTTTACGCCAATTTTTTAGAAAATCGCGAAAATCGCGGTGATTCTCACGACATGGGTATGCGTATAACATTTGGATTGGTTCACGGCGAATTCCTAACCAACTTAAAATCAATCGCATAGTATTACTATCAAAAGGAAAGGACATCTTCGAGAACATCAAAAACTGGCGTCCAATAACCATAGCCTCAATGTTGATCCGCTTATACAATAAAATATTGACACGCAGGATGCAATCTGTATTCGGCACTAATTCAAAGCAGACTGGCTTCAAACCAGTGAATGGTGTCGGTCAGAATGTAGCTCTCCTTCACAATCTATTAAGACATGCGCGTGCTAACAAGAATAATCTGTTTGTGTGTGTCTTCTAGATGTGAGTAAGGTCTTTGATTCAGTACCACATGTATCAATCAAACATGCACTGGCTAGGAATAGTTGTCCAAATGATTTCATTGATCTAATAAATAATCAATATGAGAACTGTTATACAGCTATATCATATACAGATAGAAATTCGAAATTAATTTCAATAAAGAGAGGTGTTAAACAAGGTGATCCTATGTCACCAATCCTATTTAATCTTGTTATTGATGAGCTCTTTGAGATAATAGGAGATCGCTTTGGATATGAACTTCAAGGTGTGGGTAAGGTTAACG